CCCGAACCCTAAACACGTACTTAAAGCGCGAATAACCAAAGAGGCTCTATTCGTCTCGCACTGCATTCAGATTATACAGCTTAAAAATTAACTGCAAGTTAGACAAGCAAATGCAAACACATCGAACATCACAACACACTGACATAATGAATCCGCACTCATTAACTCTTTTTTCTAGCGCGGTGGAGATATCACAGCGGCCTCTTCAGCCACGGACCCCACCCTCGCAAATGTGGCTTTCCACTGAACAAAGGCTTTCCTCAAGGAGTGATGCAACTTCCCCTTCGGGAACACTGGCGGATTCCTCCAAGAGACGGTGTTGGATCTTTCGGGAAGGGCAATCAGCTAGGTTCGACACTGAGGGTACACGGCTGTACCACGGAAGGATGTAGAATTCATCCAAATGCAGGGCAACCAGTTGGCAGATAGACGAAATTGCAGGAGAATCGGAGTAGCCACGTATCAAGGCAAATTTAGCACCCTCGTTATCAATGTAAACCATGAGTTGGGAAGATGCAATCAGTCGCCCCCAGAGTCTCAGGGCGATGTCGACAACAAGGGTCTCAAATTCCCCGATGAGGTTTTGTCTTCCATGCTCAAACCACCTTGCAAAACGCTCGGCTTCGACGTGAATGCCAAACCAGGAAATCACAGTGCCGTCCGGGGCAGCCAGGAAGGCGCCAAAGCCACCACCACTACTTCTGCAGAAACTCGCATCCGTAAACAGGAAAAATGTCTCAAGCATCTTACAGGTCAAAACTCTTGGTGAACCAGAAACCAGCCTACCCCGCAAGCGACGCAAAGACTCAACCAGTCTTTCAGAAAGTTGGGAAACGAAAGGATTAGCATACGCATGTTTCGTGATATCTTGAAGAGCCAGCTTGCCAACTCGCCCGAAAATGAAAGCATCGCAAAACGCCAACTTTCCTCGTAAAGACAGCGCATCCTTCTTTACCAACCTCCCGTTGGACAGCACATCGTCCAGAATCAAAGTTGTGTCATTGATTCGTTTGGTCGTGTTGCAAACCCTGAGTATCCCGCGTTCTGACTCAGTGAGGTCGAAAAGGACACCCAAAGCCGACACGCTTTCCGAAAAATCATCACTCTTCGGACCCTCACGATCAAATCGCCAACCTAGAATGTCGAGCATCAAGCACAGGGTAGATTGACTATTGTTGCACAAGCTCGGCATGGAAAAAGCAACGAAGTCGTCAAAGTAGCAGGTCAAAGGCAGGATGAACACTTTCGCTGCTATCCACTGCAGAAATCTGGCGCATCTTATGAAGGCGTTGACGGCCGATCTCGAACCAAAAGGCAATGCTACCTGCTGAAAAAGCTTGGCTGAACCACTTTCCGGGTCGTACACAGACAGGAACGAATGTTGCAATGACTCATCTGCAATTGCAAGCTGTCGATGCGCCGAAGCGAGGTCTAAGGACCGCCCTTTCAGGCAGGACGACCGTCCCTGATCCACCAGGCATCTCATCAGATAGGTAGCAAGACTGCAAATTACATCCGGGCCATCCACTGTAGCCTGCTCAAATGTATTCACTGTGGAGTTGACCTGACTTTGGCTCAAGTCATCAATCGGCCTAACCTTTCCAGCTTGAGAAAGGGGGAACCTCCGGGACACGGCAGCACCAACAGGCAGTGTCTCCCACGGAATGGGACCTATGAGCCAACCCTTCTCGACCTCAGTCATCGTCTTGGTCCAAAGGCCCGCGTCCAACTCCACATCGCCACTGCTCCTTGTCATATAGCGTAGAGCTTTGCTGGCTTTGGCGGAGTGCCTGCGCAGGTCATCTTCCGATATCGTGGCTGGAACCAGCTTTGAGGGCAAAACCGATGATTTTGGACAATCTCCTACAAGGCTAAAGCCGAACTCGATGTCATCTGCAAGGGTGTGATCATCATATCCTTCTTGCCGAATGAGGTGCCTCATCAAAGCCACGCGCTTTCTTTCCAAAATACGACGCCTGGCCTCAGGCATCCTGTCCTTCAGGGCCCTTTCCTCACCTTGCAAGGATTTAGCAAGACGCAACCACTCACCCAACTTCTTGCACCTCCAGTTGACCAAGTCCTCATGGCTCCAGCTAGTCAGTTTCTCGCACGCCAACTTGACTTCAGGAAGCAGCCCAGAAAACTCACGGAAGGGATGCCCCACGAGCACCGCTTGCTCAAGAAATTGCTCAGGAGACCAACGCACGCCAAAAACAAAGTCGTTGCAGTCACCCACAATTTCCAACCGTTCCAATTTAAGATGTGGTTCCTTGCATGCACAAATACCTCTGTTGCAAACCAAATGTGCTCCCCCCGTCACTGCAACCCCAGAATCCACATCGCCCAGCGCCTGCAGTGAGGGGGTGCGGTCCACAGTAAGACTAAAAAGACGGCTCTCTCCCCCCTTTCTTTCTGTCTTGCGGAGGAGCTTGCTACCACACGGCACCAAATAAGTGTTGTCACCGGCTTGCACCACCGTGCAATGCTGTAAGCTCCCGTCGCGGACATCAAAAACGAACTGTTGGGGCAAACTGTGCACTATCAAAATATGAGAGAACTCAGGGACCGTAGGAAGGGAAGTCATCTTAGTCGGCTGTTTGCCGGCTGCAATGGCATGAAAATGCGACAGTTTGAGCCTCTTCGACACCTGAGAGACATTGGGCAGCTTGAGGGTGCCTGCAACTGCTTCCAAAATGGTTGTAGCAAGTGCTTTTGCAAGCTGCGGTGTATATTCTGCTTCGCGAGCGGTGTCGAACATGCCATCTTGTATGCTCCAAGGTGCGTGTTCATGGTCATTAGAGCACAAGATATTTAAGGCCATGACTGCCCGATTGTTTGATGCTAAACAAGTCCTCTTGAGCCGTGTCCCACCAAACATGCAATTGTGCAGCTCACAGTACCAAACCTTCAGTTTTTCATCCACACTCTTCCAATAACTTGTCAACCACAACAAGCTTGTCCAGGGGTTCTCAACAGTCCACGTAATGTGCAGTTGATCCAAAGTCAGAATGAGCTCGGACATGAACCGATAAAGCCTGTTTGCTGCACGCAGCCTGGCCAAATTGACACCAGAGACTCCAGGGAGGCCGTCCGGCCAACGAGCACTGCGAAGAGGTGGAGGACCATGGTGTGTTTTGTTCATACGTTTGAAGCGTGCCCTTGAGGCTGTCCCACAAGGCACGCCGAAATGCACCCACAAGCATTTTCCGGAAGTAGCCCAGTCGATCACCAACGCCTGATGATCGTTTCTTGTCAAATCCAAACAAATCACTTTGACCCGTTGCTTTGCAACCTTATGATCCACACCAAAACTGTCGGGAAAGAAATGCTTCATTGCAAAGGTCAGGTTACCTGACCCACAAAATAATTCAATGCAAAAATAACCACTCGAGCCAAATTCAGGTTTCACGTGTTCAGATGCATCTGCACGTTCATTCTCCATCTCCTGGCTCGGCCGTTTCCTTGCAGGATGTGGTGAAACTGTTTGTTTTCGGAGTCACTGATGCTCCGTTTGTGGATGATTTTTGTAGCACCCGGGCACTGCGCAGACATGCTTGCGGGTGCAGGCGGAACCCTGTTTGCAAGTACCCAAGTTGTAGCCAAAGCAAATCTGATCACCTTGTGGGGTGCGTGAATGCATGCCCTTAAGGCCTGCTGGCACCGGCTCTCGCTTTTTGTTTTTCCCTTTGCCTTTCCCCTTCGTATTCTTTGTGAATTTGTTCGGCTGAGGCTTCTCTGAACTTGCCTCTGCCTGACGCTTCTTGTCGGTCTTGTTTGAATCGCTCGCATTGCTAGAGTTGGACTGAACAGGAACTGGCAACATGAAATAGGTCACCGAAACGTCGTTCTCCAGCTTCTCAATCATTGGGTCCAAGGGTTTGCCCGCCATGGGCATGACCTTCAATGACCCAGTGAAAGTTTCACTCAATCGCACAAAGGCCTGTCGGTCTGCACGTAGAAGCTGTGCTTGAGAGACTTTCGAAAAACCTGGGGCGGCTGGCTGAGAAAAAATCGCAAACATCCGATCAACCCATTTCTTCATGACCTCATAGGTGGCCAAGTTGGCAAGGTCCATGGCCAGGGCTCTACGCTGCATGGCTTGAAAAAGAGCTAGATCCGATGTCAAACTAATCTCCTGTGTGATGGGCTGTTCCTTGATGATCAGGCCGGTCTTGGAAGCATCCAACTGCAGCTCCTTTTCAGGCTTTGCTCCCATCAACTCCTGCTGCCGAGACAAACACTTGGAAGGACTGATGTACGCAACCTCATTGCGCTCCACCATCTGAGCACACATGTCATAAAGGCTATGCGCTGGTTCCAAAGGACCTGAGATATCCAGGCCCCTCAAATGCTGACGTTGCAACGCCAGCCTGGCATCACGTTCGGGCGCAGGCATTCTTTTGGGAGTCAAGTCATCGCCCTTGGCCGCAGACTTGAACCTGTGAATCATAAGGGTTTGTGATTCAAATAAGATCCTCTTGAAGGCTGAAAGATCTGCTATCGTGGCCACAACTCCGGGCCTCAAACTACCCATGAAGCGTGTCACTTGATCATCACTTGCCACCGTACCCGGACTCGTAATTGCAAAACTCAGCTTTGCGAAGGTGGCCACACCGTTGTGCTTCAACGATGAGACCCAAGGCTCCGATAACCCACACTCCTCTGCCTGCTGACAAAATGTCGCTTCAGAATCCAACAAGGAAGAAAGAGCCATGATCTCCGGGATGCTGAGCTAGGCGCGAAGTTCTCGAAAAACATGAAACATCTATCACAAAGGAAAGTTCGAAATCTGCAGAGTCAAGTCTCTCCTGAAAAAACACGTGAGGATGAACTGCCTATCCAAAACATGCAGACACAAAGATGTTCGCTGACCTATGTCGTTAAGCGCTTTCGCCTTGAAGCTCCTATGAGCAAAGAACATTTCAGTTGCTTCCAACTAAAGCCGAAAAACAGTTGCTCTCAACTGTTTGATTGCCTTTGCAATCAATCTGCTTTCAGACATGTCTCAAAAGCTCATTACACTTAGCTACTACATGTTGTGCACAAACTCCATCAAAGGCGCAAAGAAGCACATAACACATCAACCAAAAGATTCAGGTTCGGGAGGTCACCGTTATCTTATTTGTACAAAGTCGATCGAAGATTATCGGCGCGCGAGATGAACCTGTGACAAACGCGCGCGCGCGCGCGCCGCGCGCGCGCGCGCGTAAAAGACCTCAAATGTGCACCCCTCTACGCGCGCGCGCGCGGCGCGCGCGCGCGCGAACATCGCGGGCTAGTGCTACAAAAGGGCGTGCTTCCTCGCGAATAGAGTTAGCACTACATAGTACTAAAAGATCATGCTCTCACCTCGTGACAGCACTCTTTTGTGCCAGCCAAGTTCAAGCTCGTTTGAGACGTTTGGCCTTTGCCGCATCAAGTGCTTCTGCCATTGCAGATGCTGAGGTTATCACCTGACCCTTGTAACATCGGCTGCATCTTGCGTTCAAGGTTGAGCAGCCCCGCATGAGAAGTTCATAAGTCGAATCTGAAACCAATCGGCCGCAAAGGGTCTTGCTTGGATCTTCTGAGCATTTGTGCACAACATGTGATTTGACATTTCTGAGGACAGGTCCTGGTATGAAGTCATCGCTGGGAATAGCCTCAGGCATTGGAACATCACCGGCCTCTGAACTGCTCGAACTCGTGGAAGCTAAAGAATCGCTGTCCTCGGCACTCTCTGCATTATGCGACCTCTTGTCCGCAGCCTCAGACAATTCAGCATCGCCCAATGGAGACGTCGGTACCGCCTCAATGTCGGGTTCCAGCTCGGGAGCTCGCTTAGTTGAAACCTGAGGCCCATGTACGTCAGTATCGACTCCAATGGTTTCGTTTCTCTGAATCTTCATCAAGTCAATCATTCTCGAGGTGCGGGACTCATCAGGACGAAAATGGTCGCCGCGAATGTTGACCAGCATGCTGCAGTACAATTGCAAGGGACGAGTCAGCATGTCCCGTGAGTACACCGACATCGATTTAGAGCCCTGCAGCTCATGGTGTCCAAGTAGCGTACGCGCTGGTTCATCAATGCCATAAGATGCGGACCAGCTCAATGTTGTATGCTTGAAACTGTGTGATGTCAATCTATCCGATTCCGCCGTCTTCAAAACTTTGTTGATGAAAGCAGAAATCTCATCTGAAGTGCAACTCCTCTTACAAAGGAGTCCATCTGTTCCCGGAGCTCTGCATAGTGGTCCAAAAGGAATCGCATTTCGATCAACCTTCAACTCCTCGAATGTACCCAACCAAATGGGAGTCCAGTCAACCTCTGTGATGCCCTGGATTGGACATACAACTGGAATAAATCGCATCTTCTTCTTCAGTGAGGTTGCTGTCTTGTGGAAAGCGGTCTCCGTTTCAATGAAGCCAAAAAATTGACCCTCAAACTCATTCCGATCCAGCCAAAGGCGATGCATATGTTGCAGGTCAGACCACCTAGATCTGGAGAAAATAGCAAACAACACCGACCCAAGCATGTACAAATCAATAGTATCCAGCTTGGAAAGCATCATCCTCTCCAACAGAGCGACCTCCTGCGCCTTCAAAGGTCTTGCGGGGCAATATGCATCCTTGGTCAGCAAAAGCCTCTGAGCTCGACCTTTCAGTTGCGGGTCTGACAGCAATGTATCATGTATTGGAATCTGCATCACATACCTAGCAAATCTGAGCGCTTCCAAGAAAGAGATACCCAGGCTCGCTGAAGGTGTTCTCGCATCTGAAGAACTCAAATAAGCCAAACACTGCACACGATTCCAGGGATCCCAAACAGCGCATGTATCTTGAAGCCACTTGAAGTACTGCAGCAAAGCCAAACCTCTTTTAATAGCTGCGCGTGGAGATTTCACCCCCAAAGCATCTCTCAGGACCAGACCATGCTCAGCAGGATCCGCAAAATGAAATTCGTTTTCCAAAGCCGCTCCTAACTCACCAGGAAAACCAAGCACCTCAAAGACTTGTAACCATTTGTCTATGGCTCTCGTCCACAAAACCTCCAACTGTGCGAAAATGTCTTTGTCCGGCCTGACCTTGACAGCAAAAGAATATAACGGCATGTCAAGGTCCCGACTCACAACCTTTTGCGCAGCATCTGCAACTCCACCAGTGGCTGCCAGCGATTGAACATGTTCTGAAACACTCAAATATTCCGCAGGCAGTCCAGGTAAAGACAAAGTATCACTTGATCCAGAAAAATTGTTCCCCATGACACCTGACTCCCAAGGATACTTCAGTTCGGTGTCAGATAAATTCTGCAGTCTTGCCTCGAAAAGAGCCTTGTTGACATCTGCTCTGGAAAAAGGTATATCCGACTGTGCTGCATGATGTGATTGTCCATCACGATACTCTGAAGTGTCAGGACATGACTGCATTGATTCCGAATCAAGCGCATTTCCAAGGTCCGGGCCGTTGGATAAGTCGTCCTGTGGCAAATGAGCAACACCCTGATCAGGCACAGAACAGAAAGACTCATCCGCATCTGGCTTGTCTAGCATACTTGCAAAGCTTGCAAACTCATCAACGTCCATGGTTCTCAAGGTGCAGTCTGAAACGTTCTAACTCCTCCTCAATGTCCTGGTAATCAACCCTGATGCAATACGTTGTGCAGCAGAAAGCTCTCAAATCACCAGTTGAAAGGAAAGAGAAAACGTAAACACAGGAAAACTCGCAGTAATCCCACAAGCACCACGTGACGCTGAAAATCTCAAAGTCAGCCAAATTGTCGTATCTGTCCAGATCAAGCTGAAGTGCCATACAGGATCAATCACCCATGGCTGCACAAAAGACGAAAGAATAATTCACGCAAGAAACGTGAACCCACCCGCCCTCCCTTTGGAGGTATTGAACTTAAATGGCCACCATTGGCATTTACTTTGAATCACCTTCGTGACAAAGTAAGAAGAATTGTTCAGCAAAGGTTTCCTAAAGAAACAACAACTGAACAAAGCCGTGAAACCGAGCAAGGGAAAAA